TTTTTTTTTTTTTTTTTGTTATGTTTAAAATAATAATATCACATATGAGGTGATATAAATTTTACCATATAGTTAAGTTAATATATCAAATAGACTGCGATCACAATGAATTAGATTCTAATGAAACTTTCAGAAAATAGGATCACGCGGTCAATTTTAATTTAATGAAAGTTCACGATAACTCTAGTCCGCGAACATTCATAGAATACAAAATGAAAATACGCTTGATTTAGAGAGCGTAATGAGAACTCCTTCCTTTCGATGTCCACGAGTTACGATATATGTATAACTTGAAGGCCAGCGAATACGAGAAAGTTAACGTAATACAACCACGAGGTACTTAGGTAAAGTGACTTAATTTAAACAAAGAAAGAAGAAGAAAAAAAAAAAAAAAAGAAGAACGTGAGACTTTGTGCGAGCACATTCCACGAAAAATGCTTGATTATCCGATAATCCAACATTCCACGTTCACACTAATCGGATCGTAATGACAATTGAATGTGATTAAAATTGCGAACGGAGAAAAAAAAATATTTTTATTTAACAACGTCATAATTAAAACTCCATTGACTTTGGTATCCTTAACTTATCTAGCTCTGCTCTCTGAGTGCATTAATTGATCATAAACCGTAACAACCCTCAAAATATATAATAAGACGATCGTTTATAATTTCATTGTTTTGTTCATTGAGTGCCTAACATTATCCTACATTTGTAAATATCATTATTTTTATGTATTATATAACAGAAAGAGACCAAAAGCGTCTATCGGTCTCAGTCTGGCCAGGACGAGCCTAGGAGTAAATTGTTGAAAACATGAATATCTCGTGTATGCTTTCTTATCACCTTACATTTTCCTTATCAACATTTATTAGAAAAACATCTTCATTGATTAATTTTATATAATAGTTTTGTCATATATATATATAGATATTTTGTCATATATGTATATATATATATTTTTTTTGTTATATATATATATATATATATATAGATATTCGATATATATATATATATAACGAATTTCATTTCTGTTTTCAATCATAACAAATTATTAATAAATAAATTATGTTCATTGTAAAATTTTTCGTATTTGAAAAATAATATAATATGCACGTACATTTGATATATAATATAAGGTAATTAGAAATTTGTATTGGCGGGAAAAATTCAGAGTTAAAAGAATCTCAGGAACTGTAGGGACAATTTGTTATTTAAAATATTTTAATTTAATTTCTTTCTTTTTTCTTTTTTTTTTTTTTTTTTTTTTTTCTTAAAATAGTACAGACGGTACTTAGGTATCAATAATTTTCATCCTTCTTTGCAATCGTACCATTCAAAATTACACGCGGTCTCTTTCTTTCCAATGAAGAACAATTATTGATCAATAGAAAACAGGTTCGTTCGAAAGATTTAGTTGCATGCTCTGCAATTATTTTCCCGCCATAATTCTCGCAACGTATAAATACATAGAAACGACAACGAATTTATTTATTCATAGTATCCTTTTAACAGTGATAAAGTTAACAAAATATAATCTCAAAAGTTTAACGTTAATAAGTCTCTCAACGAGATCCTTTATTCTTTAACATTTTTCTTTTAATCGTTATTTGACGCGAGATGTCGCCTCGATCGGGTTTTTATAAAAGAGCATAGCCTCGACGCCAAAACGAATAATTATTATAATATCACGATTGATTCGATCGATGTTGAAAATATAAAAATACATAAAGGAAAATTTCAATAAAGGAAAATTCATTTCAAGACGATAATGAAATTGAATGGAGAAAATGAGAAAAGTTGTTATAAAAATAGGCAGGAACATTTCTCGCGATCCTATTGGCTGCGCCTATTGGTCATTTCCGATCTGTGGCGTCTTCCCGCGCAAACGAGCACCTACCCAACCGCCGCCGCCAAAATATCTGACGTCCTAACGCGTAACCGTTTTGTCGTCGTCGTGCAACGAGTCAAAGGCTTCATTCTCTCTGTAACAATCCAACGTTAAAGGACAACTGTCTTAGTAATTTGCTCGAGTGAATTCAATATTTCTTCGTTTCTTTACGTATTTAGATAAAAGTAATCTCATAAATACAGTGAAAAGATGTCGGGACGCGGTAAGGGCGGTAAGTATACGCCTTCGATCAGCCAAATGACCAAGTGAAACGTATTACTTTCTCTTGATTCTTCTCTTTTTTTCTTTCTCTTTTTGTCTCTCTCTCTCTCTCTCTCTCTCTCTCTTTTATTCTTTTTATCTCGAAGGAAAAGAAATTAAATGAATTGAATTAACATGATCAAATATATATATTATTTTCTTAGGCAAGACTAAGGGAAAAGCAAAGACCCGTAGCAGTAGGGCAGGGCTACAGTTCCCGGTCGGAAGAATCCATCGTCTTCTGAGAAAAGGAAATTATGCTGAACGCGTCGGTGCCGGTGCACCAGTTTATCTCGCCGCCGTTATGGAATATTTGGCGGCTGAAGTACTTGAATTGGCCGGGAATGCCGCAAGGGACAACAAAAAGACAAGGTCGGCCGAAAATTAATTTCTTTTTTCTCCCTCGCTCCCTCTATTTCAGTTTTTATATCTGTCTTTTCTCTTTCTCTGTCTGTCTCTTTCTATCTCTTTCTCTTTCTATCTCTTTCTCTTTCTCTTTCTCTTTCCATCCCTGCAGAATACTCCATGTTTTCTTTATCGTCTTTTTTTACTTTTAATAAAAAGAAAAAAAAATACTTTATCTTAATTATTAACTGATGAAAATAATTCAACTGTGAAATTAATATGTAAATATGTTGTTAAACATGTTATATATATATATGTATATATATATATGTGTGCTATTTTTATTTTCAAATGAATAATAAATATATTGAAATTTTATAAACAGTTTCATAATATTCTTGTTGACAAAGTATACATGGTGTGATAAAAGAAGCTCAACAAGGTCATAGACATTAATTTTAATACTAATATTAATGTCTATTAATATAATTTTCTAATCTTTTTCTATTTAATATTTTTAATCAATCTTAATATTAATTATATTATATATCTAATAAGATTAATAGAAAATGTTCTTATTATATTAAAATATTTTGATTTTTACCTTTCAGGATAATCCCACGTCATCTACAGCTAGCAATTCGTAATGATGAAGAATTAAACAAACTTCTGTCTGGTGTTACCATTGCTCAAGGTGGCGTTCTGCCCAATATCCAAGCTGTTCTCCTACCGAAAAAGACTGGCACTGGAGGATCTGGAAAGGGAGACAAAGCTTCTCAAGAATATTAGATTAAACATTTATAACTTATCAGTATATTAGGAATGCGTCTTATTCCGGAAACCTGAAATGTTCACAGGCACAATGTATTTGAAAAATTACATTGTGCAAATCGAATACATTCGAGTTATAAATATTGACGATGTAGCGAACAGTTTCTTAATTTTTATTTAAATAATATTATATGATAAATCAAACAATTTAATTGACCGTGTTGACTATGCTCCTAGAGGGATAATCTGTATCACATCCGTATAATCCATATTTAATTAGAAATCTTTTAATATTTTGTGTTATATTTTGAACCCACCTTTTTTTTTTGTTTTCGTTTTTTTTTGTTGTTTTTTTTGTTTTATCTTTTTTCCTTTTTTTTTTTCTTTTTTTTTTTTCTTTTTTAAATAAATATTCAAGAATATCTCTATAAAGTATAAGATTCAATAATCTCTACATGTTAATTGTTTTTGTTGAATGTAAACGATGTTTAATGCGAAAATAAACAATGACAAATCATCACTTTATATACTGTTTGACATGCATATATATTCGTAGAATGCAATAATGACAAAATATTTTACAGTAGTAAATTTTTATTTTACGTTAAGATCAAAGTATTTAGTTATCCCGTATTTATTAATGAATTCAAATTTACTATTAGTACGTTTGTATGTATATATATATATATATACCCGAGTGCGTGTTATGTGTATATATATATATACATATATATATATATATATATATATATATATATATATATATATATATATCTGTACTTCCGGTGACATTTTTGCGTGGGATCGCTAAAGTAGACGACAGTGTATAGAGAGCGCGTCGGTTCGACGTGACAATTAGATTTCGTTGAAGTGAATAGATTTGAAAAGATACTCGTCCGATTTAAAATTTATTTAACGTCAAACTAAACGTTTAAAGATGTCATCGGCAGATATAGCCATGCTTGTGGACATGGGTTTCAGTATGTCCAAAGCGTAAGTTTCGAAATAATACGTGCAAGCCGCAAAAGTTAACCTTTTAAATTTACATTAAGTGTTTTGTTATAGCGAAAAGGCATTGGAAATTACAGGAAACAACGGCGTAGAACCAGCAATGGAATGGTAAAACATCGTCTTGTTATTTATTATTATTATTATTATTATTATTATTATTATTATTATTATTATTAATTTTTTTTTTTTTTTTTTTTTTTTTTATATATATATTAATCAATTTATTCGTTCATGTCAATAAGTATATAAAAATTATTTTACAAGGTTATTAGCTCATTCCGATGATACTGAACCTTCTCCTGAACCTCCTGTTGCTGAAAGTGCACCAGCCTCTGTAGCTGATACTCCAGCACAAGATAGTGTTGCTAGTACTGGTGGACAAGTATCTACGACAGATGTTGCAAAGTCAATGAAATGCGATGTGTAGGTACATGTTATTCTCATTGAGCATTTAACTATTATCAAACAATTGTATTTTGATTATTTTATTATAATACTTTATAAGATTTAATTATTATATATAATTATATTTCATCCTTTGTTATTTTATATATTTATATATAGATGTGGAAAGCTCTTCAACTCGAGTCTTGCTGTTGAATTTCATGCTACAAAGTCTGGACACGATAGATTTTCAGAAAGTACAGAGGAAAAAAAGCCACTTACTGAGGAGGAGAAAAAGGAACAATTGAAATTGTTGGATGAAAAATTGAGACAAAAGAGGAAAGAGAGAGAGGAACAAAGTAAGAAAGAAGCATTTGAAAGGGAGAAAAATAGAATAAAATCTGGAAAAGAAATGTCAGAGGCAAGGAAGAAGTAAGGCATTATGCTAAGAAAATGAAAGCTTTTGATAAATAATACATTTAGTATTGTTTTTAATGATATCATATTTTTTATTAATTATAGGTTGGAAGAATTAGAAATGAAGAAGCTTTTAGAACAAAGAAAAAGGGAGAAGGAAGAAGAAAAATTAGCAAGGCAAAGAGTTAAGGCACAGATTGAAGCTGACAAAGCGGCAAGACGTGCAAAAGCTGCAGCTGATAATAATCAGATTCCTAATTCTGTATCAACGTTGTCGTCATTGTCGTCAACCTCGTCTACATCGACTCATCATAGGAAAGATTATAGCGAGACTAAGCTTCAGGTAATAATAAAAATCAAATAATCAGGAAATAATGAAAGATAGAAATAAAAGAAATATAGACAATGCCTTTATGATCTTATATAATATTCTTCAGATTAGACTTACAAATGGAAAAACATTAACGCAAAGCTTTGGCAGTAAGGAGCAATTATCCGCTGTTAGATTATTCGTTGAAATGAATCGGACAGACGATAGCGGACCGTTTAATTTAATGACGAATTTTCCTAAAAAGGTATTCACAGAGGAGGATTATGATGTACCATTAGACGTTTTAGGTATGTCGTGCTTGACATTCATTTAATTAATGAAATTAAGAAATGTTTTATTTATTATTTGTATTTTTTAGGGCTGGTGCCTTCTGCAGTTATAATCGTTCAAAAAAAGACTGCATTGTGTTGAGTGCTATCTATTTCTACTCTAATGATCAGAATACAAACTGTGAGCAATTGCATTATCTGTAAACATGCAATTTAATTGCAATTAAGTGCTACAGGAAACAAATTCTTTAATATGCGTTGGTTATTTAAGATTGCAGATAAGTTTTTCATAACTTGATTTTCAAAAAATGCTATAACTAAAAATGCGTGGGAAGCAGAAAATATACGTTTGAAAATAATATATACGTATTTTATTGTAAATCACATAAAAATATTATGCCTTATTTTATACAATGATCCAATAATTTGTATAATTCGTATTAATTTCATGATTCATGATCGTATATATGGTATATATATATATATATGCATATTAAAAAAAATTTTAAATAATAGTTTTTAAGTTACAGCTTAGGCTGAATTTCCATTTTTGTATTATAACAGTTCCATTAACAATTTTCCAAGATTTTCGTTTTTAAAAATTGCTATATACTTAGCAAAAATTAATTCTATATTTGTATCACATTATAATATGATGGTACAATACCAGGATATATTACTTGCGTAGAATCCCTACAAGTACTAGCAGGGAATCCATTAATGCCATCGCAATCGACCAATTTTAATGTCTTATCGAAGCATATTCGAATTTCATAAATATATTCTTCCTCTTTTTCCTTCAGTAAGTAATTAAATCATTAGAGATTGTGAATTATTGAATTAAATTTTTCAAATTCAATTAAATATATTTACCTCGTTATGGGCACACACTATTTCTGCTGTTTTACCTATAATTTTCTTAATACCATTCGATATATCTTCTATCGCATAACTTCGACCAGGTACGATATTTATTTTCCCAAGTACATGTTTCATATCATAAATGTCCAATAGTTCAAGTCCCTTTTGAAAATATTTAAGTTCACTGTTCAAAGCTGGAAGTACAATAGCACAAGTACCGTGTTTGTTCCATTCGTGGCGCCAAAGGGAATACGTATCCTTTTCATTTTGTACATCGATCCATTTTGTTTCCAATTCATTTTTTATTGGCATCAAAGTATTCGCGTTAAATGGCAAAGAATTGTTACAGAAATTTGGACCGTCGCTATGATACTTCGTTGGCCATATACCATGAATCGACCATTCGTCGTCCTTGGGCAATGCGCAGGCATGCGACTCCGACTTTTCCTTCCATAAGTAACACACCGTTTGCGGCCAGTGTTGAGTGAAAATTAAAACGTCGAAGTAGTTTGGATCTTCTATTTTATTTTGACATTTAGAACGTCGTATTCTAGTTAAAAATAAAAAATGAATGAAAAAAAAAAAAAAAAAAAAAAGAAAAGTTTCCATAAACGAACATTCATTTCAATGTAGATTTAATTTTATAATATTCTATACTATCTTATCGTTCCTATTTCAAAATTGCATTAGTGCAATATTTGAATATTTGAATATATTAAATGCCTAAGTGGTATAGATTAGATTTTGTTTTCGAATATTATATTGAAATAATACGAATAATCGTAATAATACGTATAAAGTGTATTAGCAAAGTGTTCTCATGATTGAATAATGGATCTTGTTAATATTTCTTCAACATATTTTTGTTATAACGATGATGAATATTATCATACTGTGAATATGTTGTAGAATAGAATTCAACGAGACTGCCTTATATAACATTCGGAAACGTTAATACGTCAGAATGAATTGTATTACTCACCCGTAACTATGATTAAATAGAAATAAGACAAGAAGACACGTGATAATCTTGTTCGAAAGCATGCTACTAGCAGTTGTGAACTTCTTCGGCAATAAAAGTAGACTGAACTGCTTGTAATCTTTGCTTTTGCTCGTCGCTTATACGCAATTCTACTCCCACTACTATTTTTAATTTTACCCCACCATTTTGACTAAATTGTAGAATAGAAGATATCCCTTTGCTTCAGTGATGCGCAAACTATGAATTACGATCCCTTTTAGGGATACAATAATTGATAAATTTTTATCTATAATAATAATTAAATTCAAAAGTGTTAATTTGAAATTTTTTTCTTTCTATTTTTTCTTTTCTTTTTTAATAAAAATAAAATTATATTTACTAATGTAATGAAGAAAATATATTAAGAATTATTTAAAATTACTCTAAAATTTATAAATAGTTTGCGCACCACTGGTTTACCTGAACGACAGGTGCGTTTCAACAGGTTTACGGATAAATACAATCTCTCTCTCTCTCTCTCTCTCTCTCTCTCTCTCTCTCTCTCTCTCTCTCTCTCTCTCTTTCTCTCCCTCCCCTTAAACGATATGGATAAGAAGACAAAGATTTTAAAGAATTGTGTAATGTCTAAAACATTCATTATTATTATCGTTTTAATTTGCATAATATTTTAATATTTATTTTATTCATTTACTTCGCTATAGTAAGTAAAAAAAATGAAAGCATTGAATACATTCGTCCGTACGTATGTCACGTTAGAAGAGCTACAAGGTTCGTTCTTTTAGCTGACAATATACAAAATTGCTTTTGCTGACATACCAATGGAAGTATCATTATCCATTCATGAAGAAGTATATAGTTAAATATGTACTTCTTAGTTCTTGCTTTGTTGAATAACACATTCTATTGATTTTATCGTATCTTTTATCATGTTTATTTCAATGACTTTTCTAATTCAACAATTTATTTTTTTTAAATAGATAAAAGATTATTTATCAGCGTTAAATATTATCAATGGACTCGCTGTGGTTTGTTTTTTTTTTTTTCATGACTGTAATATTACATTCAGTTCCTTCGATTATACAACCCGATGTACACAACCGTATTGTTCATTTTCTTCATAATACGATGGTAGCATAATTGAAAATGAAAAAAATTTGTTACTTTTTTACTTCAAATATTTAACATATAAATTTTATCTCAAATACGAATTTGTTCTCATTTCGAAATTAATCAATAATTATGCATCAATAATCAGTAAAAATAATCGAATACTCGATTGGCTCGTCGTTTGTATATATTTGTTATAGTAATTGTACGAATTCGAAATGTAACTTTACGGTGTTAATTATTAATTTTAAATCTTCAAATTTGTACAAACGTCAGCGATAAGGTATACATTACAATAGTCAATTTTGTTGGTAATGTAGAAAATGATTTGATCGTTGATAAAAAAAGTGGATTAATCTAAAGTTTGCAATAAATCTAATTAAGATATTTATGATGCCAATGATCAATTATTTTCAATATTTTTATTCGAAATTTCTCTTGATTTAAGTACAAAAATTCTATAAAATATCTTAGAAGTTATATGTTTTTTGGAAGAAAAATATGCCGGAACAAATTTCTATGTTCTTTCACAATTGAATTTGTAAAACTTGAAATTTGTTTAAACGTTTAGAATCATATAGAAATTCCATGTGTATTCATAAACTGCCGAATGTTTATGTAATATTAAATACAAAATAATTTTAATTGAATATTTCAAAAGGTTTAAATTTAAGACACGTTGTTCGCAAGTAACGTCATCAAAAGCAAACGAATACAATAACTTTGATAGTTATTGAATTAGTTTCGTTTTACATTTCAACGAGTAAACATCGAAATTTTCTCTTTCTAAACGGATAGAATTAAATAATTAATATTATCGATAATTTTAGAATTATTTAAAACATTTATGACGTACGAGGAGTGTAACTAATTAAAATTTAAATAATAATCAATTTTATTTAAATATAACATAGCTTGGTAACAACCAAGTTAAACTTTGAATCCAAAGTTATTGCTTTCAATAATAATATTAGCAAAAAAAAAAAATGGACTTCATCATCTTCAGACAAAATTATTTTTTCTTTTCGTTCATCGTGCAAAATTCAATGAAGACTTAAAGAATGTATCATCGAGGGATGATCTGTTGATGATCGGTTGGCAAGAATTCGGTATATCGGCGTGAATATGATGTATTCTCGTACGGTTTTATCATCGATTTTTACACGGGAATACGTGTAGGATTGGAAAAACAGCCATGTGTATATTCCGAGTGCGTGGGTGTTTGCGAATGAAATTAAAAATCCTATCGTGGATTTCGTTATATTGTACGAATTTTCGATTAGAAATGATTTTCTCGCGATGATTCACGAGAACGCGGATTTTAAAGTAGAGTCACTCGACAGCCCGTGGGTCTTCAGAAGCAGCAACCTCCACGTGGTGAGACCTGGGTCGGTATTATTTGCGATATATATTTAAATCTAAATTTAGATTATATAGCACAAGTATTACCGGGCGAATGGCTGCTTATTTCAGTGCGCTTTCAAAATCTTTTCTTTCTAATTTTAACTAAACATTAAAATATTTATATTTCAAATCATTAATCATAATACGATAGATAAAGGAAAATTTTAAAATAAATTCTTAGGGAAACGCACTGAAAAAAATTTGATTTTTTTTTCTTCTTTTTTTTTTTTCTTTTTTTTTTTTATTGTTCTTCATTCTTATTTAATTTAATTTTTTTTTTTCTAATTATATTAAGAAAAATAGAAATTTGTTACATAAATAGTGATGATACGATATAATTCATTCTCTTCTTTAGCGTATTTGAATAATCGATTTTTTTTTAATTAACAAATTTTTCATTATTTTTATATATATGTAAAATAATTTTATTTCTCATTTTTAAAATTGTATTTGTTATTACATAGACTTCTTATGGTTTTATTTGTAAAAAAAAAAAATAATGGAATATACCATAGTGGATAACTGGATATGGATTAGGTATATTCAATGTAAGAAAATGTTTGCAGCAGGTGATCGCTTATCTAATTTTACTATTTTATTTGCCGTCTACATCTACATGAACTATCTAGAGACGTGTATCGCGTACGAGGGAGAATCAGTAGGAGTGGTATATAGAAAAGATGATTTTTTATTTTGTAGAAGAAAGAAATATTTTCATATACAGATAATAGACTTATATTTTGTTAAATGAAACGCTGTCAATTGTCCTGACTATTAATAGGTAGATTATCCTGCCTATAAGTATAGCAATCCATGTAAACGTATACAAAAGAATACAAAAAGGGAGAAAATTTAAATGCTTCGATTTTTTAGCGAAACGATTGTTATTTCACAGCAAGACCAAAGGAAAAAATTTGAATAATCGAATGAAAACAATACGGACAGAGCAAAATATTATCGACAAAGTATCGTAAATGCTATGTGCAAAATTTTTACATATTTTTCTTTTTCCCTTCACTCCTTTTGTATTTAAAATTTATTTGTTAAACATTATTTCGCACGCGATTTCCAACGATACGCATTGTCTAAAGTATTTAACTTTATGCAAAACTCTTTGATTTCTTTCATTTTTATTAGTAACATAAGAAACGTACGCAGAGAGAGAGAAAGAGAGAGAGAGAGAGAGAAAAGAGCGTGTTATCAAACGATACAGTGATTCATGAAACTGTTCCGATGTTTACAAAAATGCATCTCTATCTATCGTATCTCTATTTACTATTTTTTTTTTTTTTTTACTTTTATTCCTTTTCTATACTTCGATAAGCCACAAATAATATATTCACGCAAAATTGAATAATTTTATGAGAAAGAGCATAATCACGAATCTAGGTACACGACCGCTGCTGCTATTCATACTTAAAGTTAAAAGGAAAGAGCTGGATAACAAAAAAAAAAAAAAAAAAAAAAAATACAGAAGACAGGGTGGATCGAAGAATTACAAAACTACCTTTAGATTAAATATTAAATTAACTAAATATTTACGGATTAATGGCTCGATTAAATACAATAAAAATGTACCATTGTAAACATACAAAATCGTGGATACATCAAGGACCTGTTTCGATTCTTGATAAACCCTTCTCTTAACATTTTTGGTTAATTCATTCTTGTCTTTTATCGTCTTATTAATTTAATTCTGTGTGTGCGTTTATCTTTTTTTTTTTCTTTCTTTTTTCTTTCTTTTTTTTTTTTCTTTTTTCTTCCTTTTTTTTTCTTAACATGTTAGTATTATTAGTTTCTCTCGGGAGAAGAGTTTTTCTTAGAGAAGAGAGACAGATCCTCAGACTAGGCTCGTGTTCTAGCGTAAACTATGAAAAAAAAAAAAAAAAAAAAAAAAAAAAAAACGCGAGCAATATCTCGCTATTAAAATTACGAATTAAATTAAAATATACGTCGCGCAACAGTTCAAATCTACGTTCTCTTTCGATACAGTTATCTCATTCATAGGACATTATGCACGTTATGTTACATCACAAAATACGAAATTACATTTGCTTTACACGTCGACGGTATCGCAAAGTAATTCGTTTTTTTTTTTTTGCTCAAAACTTTAGCACGACATTCGTATCATCGTTTCTTCGTATCATCATCCTGTACTTTCTCGCGTTCAAAGGGAAATAGGAAATGGAGGGAAGATAAATTCAAAGATAGATAGTTCCTTTGAAGTCGGAAATGATCGACGGAGATCGTATCCCAAGGAAAGTTTTAACAGGCTGATTCTAATCGATCCGACCTACTTACTTTCTTCGAATCATGTTACGTTTATAAGTAGAATAGAAGTGTGCGTGATCGGACGTTCAAATAAACATGAGCCATCAGAAATGAGTTTTATTCGATCGTCGATGTATTTTCTTTTTTTTTTTCGGAGCTAATAAGTTCGTATATTAAAAAAGAAAGGTAACTAAAAGAGAAAATGAAATTGTAGAGAAAGAGAAAGGGTGGGGGACGATAATCAGAACGTGATCATGCGACTTCTATCATCTAAGAATGGCGTAATACATTTTATACATAATCGCGTATGTGTGAGAATATATATATATATATTTTATACATACATATATATATATATATATATATATATATATATATATATACATGTATATCATATAGTAAGTCTCTCCGTCAAAGGCACTTGAAAAAAAAAAAAAGACAAAGTAAATGGCACCGTCGGGTTATAACGCATTACGTTGCGCTCATTATTCCTGCTTTTTTCGTTGTTTGTTTCTTCTATTGTCAAGTCAATCGTTTTCCTTTTTCTAACTTCTATATCGATGATTGAAGCTCATACCGAAATTGGCCATCGCGTCGAACTTGTCCCTTTTTCTAGGACATTTACCTTCTCGTCTCATATACTCACCATATTCACAGATAGGTATTGCACATTCGATATTTTGAATACACCTGTAAAGATAACAACGTTAGAATTTGATAATATAATAATCATAGAGCAAAGTCAATATATTCATTTAGAATTTATGATTAAACTTACAATCTGTCGCTCAAAGAAAAATATCCCTTTCCACGTTTCGTTTTGATGCAGTTTTGATTATGTTCGTAACAGTAACATTGGCACTCTCCGTCCGGCGTGATTTTCGGCGTGAATTCCGAGGGACATCGGCACCTATTCGATCATTTATTATTTCTATTTTAGATTTATTTACATATATCGCAATTTACAATGAATTCATTTAGATTTAGTAGACTCACGATTTTCTTGGCGGTGCTCTCCTCATATTTTGCGGCTGCGGAGAGAGCTGATGATGCCGGTAGAATCTCTGCTCGAGGGACTTCTCGTTCGTATCGTATTCTATTTTCTCTACACATTCGCATTCCGTGTGATTGTAAAAAGATAATCTTTCAACCACGCTTGTACCAGCGATGTTTGTCATCTGTGAAAAGAAAGAAAGAAAAAAAAAAAAAAAGATATAATTACATTATACCTTAAATGTCGAATCTTGTCTAATTTTGGTTTATTCATCATTTATACATTAAATACATAGTACGATTTCGTGGATATCGTTTGTTCTTTGCGAGTTTTAATTCAAAAATAGGAAATTTACTCGATTAAATCGATTCTATAGTAACAAACATCTGGACGCAAACTGGCGTTTGTCCTAGTTCGTTAATCGTGCTATTTGAACGCGTCGGGTGATGCGAATAGATTCCGGAATAAAATCGTGAGTTGATAAAAAATGTTACTAACGATCGGTCGGTATCACTTCGGTACTAATTGAGCTCAATTAACCTGGCTCTCTCATTCTGTTCTTATAAAACGAGTGCGAGCAAAACGCAGACGAATAGAGATGATCCGCGTTACGGGGAGTCGCGTTTAAATATGTCTTTAATTGACTTTAATTGCCCTAAGTCAATGTTTGCACGTATATACCGATTTCCGCTTGGATATCTTACGTGATTCGATTATGGCGATTTTCCTTCTCTCTTATTTTTTGTTTTATTTTTATGTCTCATTTCTCTCTGCACTTTTTTTGTTTTTCTTCTTGCTATAATAGTCACTGTTAAATCAGACACGATCGGCAAATTAAACATTTATACTCTCAAGTCATTTCTTGCTTCAATAACCTCAATGAAGACATTAAGAAGGAATAAAGCGCCTTAGGAAACATTATCCTTAAGTGTCTCGATGAATAATTGTCTTGTCATTATTGGTCTAAAAAAAAAAAAAAATAAAAAAAAAAGACCAAGAAAGAAAGAAAAAAGAAAAGAGAACACAAAAAAGAAAAAGAAAATAAATCCAAAGGGATCACGAAGATCGTATGATCGATCGCTCGGTTAACTTAGACACGGTACTCGAACGAGTTGTTTGCTCGATGACAATAGGCTAGCGGAACGAAATGCGGTGATCGTAGACTCGAAGGTGCCACCGATCAATCGCGTCACGATTATGTTTATGGAATTTCGTGGTGGGGATGTGGCGATCACGAAGCTATTTCGAGCTTGAACCAACATTATTTATTAATCCTAACGTATCTTGTAAACTTTAAAGGAAAGACTAACGAAACTAAAAAAGAATAGAAATCATTTAAAGAACGTGTTCAGAACTTCAAGCGAACTAACATAGCAGTAGATATTTTCTGTCATGGTTATATATTTTTCTTATCATTAAATCGACATCAAGGATAGTCATCAATTTTCGATCGAATGCAATCGGTTTCTTTTCTTAGGTTGTATTTTCTATTAAGTAGATATTTGTTATTCCATTTGAACTTGGTTAAAGGAACAAATGATAATAATGGTGTATTATCGTTAAAGAACAAAGGGCAGATATTCCGATGCGAATGCATTTAAAAGAAATCCGAATAAAAAGGGATACGAGCAAACGAGTGACAAATTACGATTCTGAATTCCGAGGGTGGTTTATCTCTTTTATTCTTTCTTATTAAACGTCCTACATGCTCTCATCGTGTCTGAATCCTTTTCTCTCTTTTTCATTTTCCTTTTTATTCTTGGTCGTTGACAAAGCGCAAAGATCCGGGCAAGATCCTTGCAATACGAGTTGCATCTATAGACGCTTCTTTCTCTTTCTCTTTCTCCTTCTCCTTCTCCTCCTCCTCTTTCTCCTTCTTCTCTTTTCTTCTTTCTTTCTTTCTTTCCTTCATTCGTTCGTCCGTTCCTTCTTTCTTTCACGTACATCCTGTCAAGTCGGTACACCAGGATTGAGATTCGCGATCGTCCCTGACGGATAGTCTGGCCGAGAGATCGTGGTCATAAATTTTATGTCCCAGAGACACACGAAGGATAAACTCTTGAAGTTACCTCCATAGTTTCGAATACATTCTCTGGTATAATGTCTACATAATGTCTGTGCTTATGTAGTAGTTTTCAGAGTACGAAAAATTTTGTATGGAATCGATCACTTTCCGAACTAACAATTTCTGAATTTATTAATAATCAAATGAACTGTTTTCTATTAGACATCCATTATTAGGTATAAAGTTAGCTCGGAGCTTGTCGCCGTAAGGGGTTATTGATCTTTTACCATACGGACGGATTCTCGATCGTTTCTCGAGCCACCCCCATAGTTTGCTTCGTGACAGCCGAAAGGAAGATTACAGAGCGGCTCGAGATAGAAATCGGATCGGTCGAGGAGAATCGAAAGTCTCTCGAATCCGATAACGATCTGAGAGTATTCCGAATGTCAATCGTAACAGGAAGTTAAAGTAGGTACGTACTTATAAAAGTAAGTAAACGAACTTCGATCGGAGATCCGATTATTGCTGATTTTCAATGCTTTCTCGATCGAGGAGATAATTTAAAAATTTCTCAAGGAGGGGGGTATTTTTCTTTCTTTTTTTTTTTTTTTTTTTATTTTTTTTTTTTAATCGCGATAGTTAAGTACGATGTTTAGGATCGATCGTTTCGATAGATCGTCGTTCGTTTTTCACGAGGGCAAAGATTTCCGTGATTTTGCATAGAACACGAGCTCGTAAAGTTCACGCGGGTTGACTCATGGTAAACGGCGAATCCAGGAATTTAATCCCCGCTAGGACAATCTCCTCCGGGTGGGAAAAGAGCAGCTGACCGGACGGCTCATTAACATTCGCCGTATCTTGCCGGGGGCACCCACTCGTGAATGAAACACAAGAAGAAGGCACGAAATCACGTGCGGACGAGAACGGCGAGCGGTGAACCGTGCGAAGAGAGCATGGCTTCCACTCGGAAGCCTATCCTACGATTTCGACGTTGCTCACGAATTTCATCCTCGTGCCTTCGCAAGGATCGTTCCTTCGCTCGATCATGATCGACACGCTTCGACGACGTTTTCGTGTTCTCTCATGTTAAAATACAAATCGTTTCTAATTTCTCGTTTGTTCGATTGAATATGAACACGGACAATATATATATATATATATATATATATATATATATATATATATATATATATATACCTGACAATATATTTTTCATTTCTAATTATTCGGGTACTTAGTTGAAACTTTTTTTTATTGTTATTTTTTTTTCTTCCTTTTTCTTTTTTTGTTCGCGTTCCTCGGGTCCTCGATAAGTTTTACGTTATTACGGAAGACACGTTACCATGTATTTAAGATATTTTAACGTATAATTCAAAGAGATCGTGACGTATAATCGATGTAATCGTTTCTTTTCGATTTGTCGTTTTTGATCACTGCGATTACTTAAGGAACTTTCTCGATGGTATGTCGGGGGAGATAATATCTTCACTTTGGAAAGTAACCTCGTGGGCGTCGAATCGTGTGATACCAGAAGGAGATTTGATAAATACGACGCGTTTTCCTTACAGCTCGTTCTCACGCGATTCCGTCGATTTTTATGCCAATCCGAAACGCACTTTCGCTCTTCCATGAAAACGAAGGAACTTTTCTGAACTTATGAATAATATTTTCTTAACTTCCATTTTCTCCGCATTCTTTCGTTTTATGATATAATAAAGATATACATATCTTCGGCATCGATTTTATCAATTTTAAGAGTAACGCTTTGATTATCCATCAAGAATACCATTTATACGTCAGTCAACGTTAAATGTTATCGTGTCATAACAAATTACATCGAGAAACAGGATAATACGACAAAATTTACGACTGTAATTGCAAGAGGAATGTAGCAATGGAACGAGCAGAATTTAGTTTGAACTTTCATAGAGAAAATGGATGTTCCGTGAGGATGTAAAGACATTTCGAACTTAAAGAACGAATCCTCGTAAATCTACGTCGATATTTGACAAATGAAAATTAGAAATGTCAAACGTTCAATGTCATTGATATTGTATTTTTGTAACTCATTAACGAGATATTAATTTGAGACAGATCAGATGATGGGATTTTTTTTTTGAAAAGTTACATCCTATTACATCCTTTATTGACAATAGAAGGTTAAGTTTTCAAAAATCGATCGTATCTTTTGTCGATATACGTTTTATTCCGATAAGTCTTCTGATCTGAGATGACGTATTTTGCGCGAACGATCCGATACACAAGGATATCAAATATCCAAAATGTGAGGTCGCATATCTCAAAAGATAATCGAGAACTTTGAACGAACGATCATCCTTAATATCGGATGAAAAAAAACAAACGATAGAATTTTTATATATCAATATTGAAGATTGAAAATGTTACCTGTTCGATAAAATGAATTTTCTATCGATCGGACTTCAAAACTCTGCCGGGAATTAAGTTTTCTTTTTGTTTTTATCATAAAGAAAGGCAATTAAGAAAGGTAACATGACGTAATTTCATTGGACGCTTTAAGAAATATGCGAATATAGTCCTCTCTTTCGTTCTTTTCAAACGTAACGAATTCCTTATTAATCGACTCGTTCTGAAGGCAGATGAAAGGCTCTCCCAGCAACAATAATTAATTCTTGAGACGTCGAGGGGTAATTAAAGGACGACTCGCTTCGTCATTACACCCACACGTTAGCCTTTTCTTTCTTTGTATGCGGATGGTTACAGAGTGCTGGGATTAGCTATTAGGAAATTCTTTAGCGTCTCGTAGATCTATTCTTCTACCATTGAATATTATTAACTTCTACGATTTAACATGTAAGTTAAGGATAGAAAAAATTCGAGAAATAAACTATGAGAATATTAATTATTCTAGACAGCTACCATTTATTGTTTAGATATCTACACGATATTTCATTCTCTAAACGATGATTATAACTTTTATTATCAATTATTACCTTTGATTAATTATAGTGATATATTCAAAAGTCCTTTTGTAAATAGAATAAATTTTTAATTTTATCAAACGAAAATCTAAATCTCGCAAGAGCATAATTGGAATACAGAATATTATTTTATAAGAATAATTTGGTATTTGAATATCTTCGAATATGTTTTCAAACGTCTTAATCGTCTTCTCCAAACACAGTATAACGATATATTCA